ATAATATATATATACAAAGATAAACCACAATGAATGGCATATTAAAAAAATAATAATATTCCAGATCACCATAGAAACAGTAATAGATACAATTGTTTTTAATGTCTTTATCAGCAGTGGCACAAAGCATTATCAGATAGATTCAGAAAATGTGAGAAAGATCAAGGGTTTAAAAACAAATCAAATTTCAAGCAATTAAGATTATATTAAAAAAAAATCTATTTGATTTGTTACTCTTCTTTTCACTTTCCACAAAAAAAAAAAAAAAGGAACTCTAACCACTATCATTCTGTTGATAAGCATTATGAAATACGTATATGCTATGCTGCACAGCTGTGTGGTTATTCTAAATGTTCAGGAGCACCTAACAGTAAACATGAGCAGTGGCTTTAAAGATATTTCTGTACTGGAGTGTGCTGTGGTGGTAAGAATCTGTAACATGCTAAATTCTGAGGTTTCTGTACAACAGAAACCATACTGTACGGACACACTGCACCTACAGCACTGTGGTCAAAAAGTTGATTGAAAGGCATTTTAGATGCAGAAAAATACATTGAGTTAGTACATTTTAATTTCTGTATGTTTAGCTTTTTCTGACATGCTTTTATAGATATATATGTTTCAACAAATTTTCTGTAATCAGGGAAAACATTGAAAGAGTATTTGAAAGATGGGAGGGCATTTTTTTTCAGAATTTGAATGGAGTTTTGTTACCTACCTCATTATTCATTCCAAATATCAAAAGCCATTGAGACAGACAAATTTAGAAAGAACTTACTATCAATTATGCATCCTTGAGACCAGTGCTGTGGAAAGTGTGTTTTTAAAATGCTTGAATAATTGTATTTAATGGCAGTCCATCTTTTCTTAACAGTATGTTGACAGAGGTGAAAGAGATTGAAACAATAAGAGAAGTAATGTTCAGTATACAACTGGGAGAAGAGATGTTCATAGTATTGGCACAGAACCTCATCTTTCTGAGGTAGACTAGCAAATAGGGATTAGCAGTACATAAATGTCACGTTTTCCATGGCCTGATGTGCTGGGATTTTAAGATAGTCTGGGGTCGCAGTTAGCATTAACTTTCATTAAGAGTATGACAAGATAAAACAGCAGCCATACGAACCACGTACAGATGAATCTTCTTGCCTCAGCATTAAAGTGCAGAGGTGCTACTGCTTGTGGTAGCAACAAGTGCAGGATTAGGCAGAACCATAAACTTGGTCATGAGCCTGTCCTTGATCTATTAAATACCTTGACCACATGTTAAATTTGATTAATGATAAGCTTAGCAAAGCCATATTTTCATCTTAAAAATTCTAGTCACTGAAAATTATTACAGAAAAAAAATTATACTCATTGTATATGCTTAATGGAAATTACATATATGAAGAAGCGGAAGAAGGAGAAAAATTCAACCATACAATTAGCTTAAACAGTTCATGGTAGTTTCTTATTCTGAGTCACATGTCTTACTGGAACTTGCAAGCTAGTGCAGAAAAGAAGAGATGAAAAAATTATATGTAAGTCTACCATTGTCAAAACAGTCCCTGTGGAAAATTACAGTTTTATACAGAGTAACAATATTTTTCATACTGCCTAGGTTTTGCATGATGTCAGGGCATTAGCTGGCCTAATAGAAACTCATAAGCACATCCCTATTTTTTCCTTTACAACATGACCCTAAGAATTTGTACTAAAAAATGACAATTCATATTTCTAAGCATCTTATTTGGAACAATATATAGTACACTATGTCTGTGTTTAGAAAAGACATTTTTTGCTAGCCAGCTGTTGTTTCTTCTTTGTTTATGCTCATTTCTCACGAGTGTTTTAATTTTTAAAACATTATATTTCTTTAAAATTGTCATGTGTGCTTATATGAGCAATGTATCTATTTTACACAACTGAAACACTGTATGAAATAATTTCTTCACTAAGAATCTAGCAAGAATTGGGAGCATGGAATCAAAGTCAATCACTGTCAAAGATAAGAATTTATTGCACATGTTCAAACTGAGATGCAGTTTTAAAATATTGATGGGAAAGACGTATGCAGTTACAAAGACACTTCATAGCACTGCTTAATGAAAATGAAAATGTCTCATGCTCTTTATTTGTACCTCTTATTTTATGCTGTGAGAACTTGGTATATTTCCTCACTTTGGTAACACGCATGTAGACTTATAGTCTATTTTGGAACTATATATTTATGCCTTTGCCTTCTGAACATGTTCAGTTCACAGTCACATATTATATTTCCAAAAAAAGGACTACAAAGGCAGGCCTAGGGATTTCTGATGGACCTTTCTTTCATTTTTTTCCAGGTGACATTTACGAAGAGGAAATTTGGGTTAATGAAGAAGGCTTATGAGCTGAGTGTTCTGTGTGACTGTGAGATTGCTCTGATCATCTTCAACAGCACCAACAAACTGTTCCAGTATGCCAGCACTGACATGGACAAAGTGTTGCTGAAATATACTGAGTACAATGAGCCTCACGAGAGTCGAACGAATTCAGATATTGTTGAGGTAAGATTTTGTGTTCTGTGAGGATTTTTTATTTTACTCTGAGGTGGAGGTACTCAAAGCAAGAGGCCTGATCATCTTTCTCGAGGGCTGTGGAATGTACTCTGGAGGTGACACAATGGCAGGAGAGCAGAACAGAGAAAAGGGAGGATTGGCTTGGGGGTTGGAGGTGGTGCAGCAGAGACTGGAGGGAATCCACGTCTTATGTGAGCTGCAGGTTTTATCCTGCTGAGTCTCACAGGCTCAGCAGAAACTCCAGGGATGGGATCTCTGGCTCCCTGTTGCCCAGCTTGTTGTGCTGCTTTGTCCCATTAGCCCTTTCCATGCCTTGACCACTACCTCCCAGCTGAATCTCCCCCTTGCATCCTAGTTGCTCCTGGTGACGCATGGTGTGGTTTGTCTCCTCACTCCAAAAGTTATAATGTGCTCCATCCAGGAGAAACCAAAAAATACATTGTAAAAGATGCAGAGGAAAAAGATATAGTATCAATGCTTTCAGGCATTTGACTGACTTGTTTAGATTTCTGGTTATTTACAGAGGAAGGAGGTTGGATTAAATGCAGGAAAACTTTACTGATGAACTGCACAAAATCAAATGTTTTAGCTACCTCACACAGAATACTGTTACCATAACATGGTAACAACAGCATCAAAGTAGTACTATCAGAAATCTAGACACAGCTTGTAATTATTTTTTTTAATTACATAGGGCAAGTTTTATTTACAATTACTGAAAATTATTAATTAAAATTTTAAGATTTTCAATTTTAAGCTTTACATAATTGCAGAAAAGTCAGTTTACTTTATAATCACATTAGGATTCAAGCTATGCAAAATAAATGAAGATTTTAATGATTTTGTTGTCATAGCAAAACACTCAGAGTGATATCTAAAAAATTGGTTATGTCACTTAATGCAACTCCTGTTCAAAGCACCTAAGTGAATAGGCATCTAATAGTATAATTTTAAAAAGTGTTGGGAGGATGAGGTCCTGTCCTGAAAATCAGTGAAAATTTATTAATAAATGCTGTTAAATACCTTGGCCTAGACACTTAGGTTACTTCAGATCTTACTAAAGGTGTTGGTTTCAAACTTTTTAAATAATCTGGATGTGTCTAAAATGAGACTTTGGTGCTTTTTAAATCTTCACCTGGTTTAGTCATGTATTTGAGACTAACAATGGAAAAAAGTAAGTGTGTGAATTACATGTAAAGTGGTTTTGTCAGGTGAAAAATACTTTATAACAGTCACACCACCATAGATTGTCAAAGACTGCAGCCCAGGAATATTTATCACTTTTCTGTCTATCCTTATGTCAACATATAGGATGATACTGTTTTCTTCCTTTGTGATCTCCCAGTAGATTTTCTCCCCTGTTAGGAGAGGATGAGGTTCTGACAGCAGAACAAAAATTTGCATGAGTTAAAACTAAGAGGAAAGTGCATAATTTCTTTCTCCTCTCTGTCGTCTACTTTTCTCTCTTGCTTCAAATCTCCAGTATAGATATGGAGCCTTTCCTGTCACCTAGCTCTGGTAAGCCCATGTCCTGTCCAGCAGAATTCAAATTCTGTCCCCAAAATTAAGATCTGTCCCCACTTAGTGGCAAAAAGCAAGAGTGTTCTTAGCAGGAAAAGTTTTCTGTGATATCTTTACTTCTTCCTGCTGGCTTTTGTGTGGAAATAGGTGAGTAAGCCAGTAGTTACGGATTTTTTACTTGTTTCACAATGAACACTTTTGATCATGAGCACTGCGGTTTTTTCAAGAAACTTGAGTGAAAATGTAAAATGTAAATTAATGTCTATATTTTGTTGTAACTTTCAGATTTTCAGAAGGAGCACTCTGCACCAGCAAAGGCCCTTTCTTACAAAAATAGTGGGCCAGTTTGGGTAGGCTGGTAGGCAATTATGCATGCAGACATGTAACTTTCTGCCTATAACCAACATTTGATGGGCATTCCTTTTCACTCCTCTAAAAGGAGCCAAATAAAAGTAGGTAATTGAAATAAACACAATTTAAATTGAATAATCTAAAAATAGGCAGAAAAGGTCAAATGAAGTGCATATTTGTAGTTTTTCCATATGTTCTGTCAGCTCTGAATTTAGTCATTTGATCGTTTTGCTGTTATGTTTTGCAGTGTTCTGCCTGTAATGCGTAATATTTAAGCCACAACAATGCCAATACTGATCAAAGGAGTATTTGTGCAGGTTGTAGGTTCTGACAAGGGTTTCATATTATCATGCCTTTACTTGATAACTAATGTCACAGTTATGAGTACAATAGAGGAGTACATCCCATGAAAGTATGCAGTCTGAGAAATGGCTTGTAGTTTGGATGTATTTTTAGATACAGGATATAAATCTGCCACACATTTAAATATTTAAATTGATCGGTTAAACTGACTAGATTACACATATTTTCCTTGCAAGGAGTCCATTTTTTTCCCACTTTCAGACAGCTAGATTTCACACTTACAAGTTTTTAATCTTATTCTTCCAGAGCAATCAACAGCAGCTGAGAATCAGACAGTATTATTAAATCTGTTCATTTTCAGCTAAATGACTGTTCAATAACTATATTTCAATGGAAGAAAAGGACATAGCTGTGCTCCCAGATTTCTGCACAGTATTAGAGAAAGAAAACTTTTTTAGGTAGACTTATGAAAATTTGAAATATAACTGTCAACCGCATAAGGGTCTTTAATTTAGAATCCAATATCTGTTAACATTCAGCATGATAGTAACTATTTAGTTACTTTTTGGTTGTGGTAGAACTATGTTATCAGTCATTAGAATGTGGTAAAACTTCCTTAAGCAATCTATATTCAAAGAAAATCAAAAGAGTAGGTCTCTAATACGTAGTTAATTACTTTTAAGTTAAACCACTGCTATTCAAATGGAAAAATTATATTTATTTTTATGTAGGTCTGGCAAAAGCTGTTAATTTTATTAAGCAAATATTTCCAGTGTAATTACTGTGTTTAAATATATTTAGCATTTCTGAAGGAATGAGTCTTCAAGCCATAATTTGTTACTTGAAATATTGGAAGATACCAAGTGTTGTACATGTAACAAACATTGCACTCTTTTTCAAGAGAAAAATTCATTGGCATTAATTTTAATAGTTCTGTTACTGCAAATGAAGCAATTTGGTCATACCCAGCTTATTAGGTGTCTGATCTGATTACATCCGTCATGATATAAAATGGAGTGGCTAACATGAAGAGAATTGTAAAGTGCAGTTACTGTTATTCTTCGAGTTCTTTTGGCTAATGATTCAAACAAAAAGCTTATGCTTTCTTTAAACAAGTAGTAATTTTATGTACATGTAATTAATATAACTGAGATGGTCTTTTCCAGTTGCCTCATTCAAAATTGAGTTGATTAACATGCAGTTTGGTATATCTCCGCTCTTTAGACCACAATTATCTACCAGCTAAACGTGTTTCAGTTATTATACAGTAAATATACTTACAATATTCACAGGTAACTAGAAACCATTGTGTACTCATGAAGGTGAAAATGTTTGCATTCAACACTAAGGTTTATTCATTTTAAGCAACAGTGACAATTATTGCCAGTCTTAGGAAAATCTGTGGGGGGAGTTCATGAAATGTATTAGTTCTTAAAAAAAAAAAAGTTCCTTCTGAGATTTCTGTTTCGAGTTAACTGGATTCTTCAAACTGAAGCCTTTAGGTCCTCATCTACCACACCACTCACACCACAGTCACTCATTCAGTCTTGCTTCAGTTAAAAAGTACGTGTTGATTGCTGGATATAGTGACATTTTAACATTCAGGGTTCCTTCGACACTGAGGAAAAAAATTCATCTTTATGCTAACTTCTAAGTGCTGTATGTAAATACAAACAACAAAATATTCAGCAGATGTCATTTAAAATCCCGTGATATAATTAGTAGAAGGTTTGTAAATCTTTACTTTAAAGTGGGATTACATTTTCCTGTCATTACAAAATCCTGTGGCATTTGATACACAATCTTTGATATAGAAGTAGTGTTTTTACTAGTGTTCCAGTCTGTCCTTAGGAGCTTGTCAATACATCCAGTTCCTATCTGCTCTATCAAAAAAAACTTACCTTATGAATTTGTTTTTTATCAGCACAGTTGTTCAGGACTAGGCAATATTTTCTTACAGCAGAGAGGAAATGGGTAACAGTAAATGCCAGAGTTTTACAACAGACAAGCCATGTGCATTACGCATTTTTTTTTTTACATTTTTTTAAAATGAGGCCAGATCCTCTCCTTGTTTCTGTAAAGCAGAACTGGATGTAACACAACTTGTTTCAGTGATACTTCACTGCCACGCTACTGTGAGTGACAAGAATCCAGTGCCAAAGCACTATAAGCCCACTGCTTAGGAGCTCAGAAAGTACATCACCCTTAGATTGTACAAGGCATATTTCAGAGAAGGGATACATGGAAGTAATTTCCATCTTGGCTGCAAATGTTAATTACAACCTTAAGCCGTCAAGCATTTGTTGATTTAAGGTGAAACATTCTGCTTGTTTTCTCTCTTATTGTCCCTTCCTCCTTGTCACTTTTTTTTCACGTCAAAGCATCGGATACTGTCTTGGCCTTAGCAGACATCTAGTGAGTTTTCACTAAGCCCCGGTTTTGATTCTGTTTCTTAAATACTGAATCTAATACACTGATCCTTTGTCTGTGTGTGCATAAGTCATTTCTCCACAGATCACTAACCACTTCATCTTTCAGCTCTTCTTAAGCTCTAAATCCATAATTTTCATTGACCCTGCTGCTCTTATTGTCCTTCTTTCTCCAACTGGCTTCTATTCCTCTGCTGATGTAGTGGTTACTACCATTAATTCAAGTTCTCCTGATAGATCAACCCTTTCAAATTCATCCCATTAAACAGATCTTCTGTTTTCTGTCCAAAATGCATCCAGCTCACCAGTTCTCTTCTGCAATACCACTAATCACTGGTAGAGGAAAAAGAGGAACAACACAAACTTCTTCCATTTTCCTATTTG